TTTCGCTTGGTGTCCTATCGGATAATTCCGGAAAATTAAGGTCACCGTCGGTGAAAACCGGATAAAAAAGATGACAAGAATAAACAGCAAAAATGGAATAATTAGCATAATTGAAACTCAAAAAAAAAAAATAAAAAAATAGGGATTTTGAAAAATTTGGGTCGGCGGGTAATGCTAAACGAAAAATCAACTTTGCATGGCCTAAACGTTAAAAGATAGTATGGAAGTATAATTAAGAACCGGGGAATAAATCTGTTGATCACCCGGATAACCCGCCGGATATACCCGTCAGATAACCGGGTAGCATTTTTTCGATCGGGTACCATCACTATGCCTGCTAATAAATAATACTACTCAAATCGATTGTCAATGGTAGTAAAGCATAACCGGTATATTTTAAATTTTAGGAAGTGATCGTTATGTACAGCACAAGCTTGATCTAAGTTAATTACTGAAAAAGTTAGTGTTAATTGTATTTAATATTATGATTTCTCAGATCAACAACCTTTTAGTCCATTTAGAGTAATACGATTAATACAAGTTAAAACATGTAGATCTTTACAAAATAATTTTCACATGATAAGATCATGCCGTCCAATAAGATCCAAGATTTTGTACACAGATAGTTGCCTGTATACAATACACTTCGTACTTCGTACTACGTTCCTGATATACAGAATAACTGTAAGATAATTAGTTAGTTTCAGGTAGCGATAGTATTAAGAACAAAAGAAGTTAATAGCGAAACTTATCGAATTGCTCCAATAAGTATATATAGCCCGACGTATTACTCCACTTAAAGATCTTGATTCCTATAATACATTCGAAACTCCATTATATTTTATCGTTGTGTTTCACTTATCTTGTCAATAATAAAGTTCTCCGTGTCTTCATACACGTTAAATTATAAACTGTTGTTAAGAATCTTAACGATCTTAAACAACGTGACATCGTTAATTGGGTTAACGATTGATAAAAGAACCATAAAGTAAAATATAACCGACTACTTGTATCCTCATATACACTAGTCGTTTACCTCTAATAAAGCCTTAAAACCTCTTTGATAATTTGAGTAATCGACGCTATATTATTCTGCTAAATCACTAAGATTGTAGTCGTGTCATACTATAATCATCTAGTTCTTGGAATTCTGATAATAAAATGTCGATAAACAAAGACTTGGATGATGATGTTGAAATTCGTAGACTTTGGACAGAAAGCATTTATGATCATCAACAAAAATTTGTAAAGACTGAAGAATTTTATGATTTTATTATTATTGGAACTGGAACTGCTGGATGCGTTTTAGCAAGAGAATTGATTTACAATATCCCTAACATTAATATTTTGGTATTAGAAGCTGGTCCACCAAATACTCATGTCAATGATATAATGCGTTCACCATGTGCCTTTTTTACGGTATACTACAGTATATTATGATATTTTTTAACTTTTTATTTCATAGAGTTAATGCTGATTTATCATAATAGGCTGCTCGAACAGGTGAAACAGATTGGGGTTATTTCACTGAAGATCAAGTAATGCCTGGTACTGTTGATCCTACTGAAGAAGTATTAAAGAAAGGTTTTCCTTATCCACGTGGCAAGGTCATTGGAGGATGTAGTTGTGTGAATGCAATGGCTTATATGTAAAATATTTTTCAACTACTTTAAATTTGATTTTTCTGCTAATTAAAATCATATCGCGGCATTTTTTTTTGGTTTTCGTATTTATTTTTATTAAAAATGATACGATTTTTTTTCTTTTAGGCGAGGTCATAAAGCTGATTATGAAAGTTGGGCTGCTCAAGGTTCTGAATACATTATTTGGAACTATGATCACTGCCTTGAAGGTTAATAT